AAATAAACAACTTAAATTTAAAGATCGTAAGGATATTGTGAGCCTATCTGTTGAGCGGACAATTGAATTAGCCTGTATAGAATTGGAGCAGTTCATTATATTAAGCGTGTACAGGCCTCCTTCAGGATTGTATGATTGTTTTGAAAGGGTTATGGATGAAGTATTGCACAAAATCTGTAATTCTTACAAGTCTATCATCACTTGTGGTGATTTTAATGTTAATTTGTTAGAAAATTCTGGGTCAAGCACAAAAATTATAAGTTTGTTTCAGTCATACAACCTTGCCAACCAATTTTTGGAGCCCACTAGAATAACTCCAACTAGTGCCACATGCCTAGATAACATTTATACAAATATTATACCAACCCACAAAGAAATTATTAATTTAATAGACTCAGATCATTGCGGACAATTGATTACTATTCCAAATCTAAACAAAAAAAATACTAAAAAAGATATCACTGTTAATCCAAAAACAGCTGATCGTTTGGAATCATTTAAAACTAAACTGTTAAGTAAATTACCACTTTTGTCAACTAATGATGACCCTAATGAACAATATAATGATTTTTTTAATATGTATTGCACACAATTTGATAACACTTTCATTCCAAAGGCATTCTCGGTTAATAATAACACCTGCTTCAGTGACTGGGCCACCTTTGGTATACATAAAAGTAGAAAACGACTTTATGAGTTGTATGATGAACGGACGTGTATTAACACTGCTGAATTTAATTTATATGTTAAGAATTATTCTAAATTATTTAAAAAAGTTTGTTGTATGGCCAAGTCACGTTACTTGAGTACAAAAATTAAGAATAGTAGTAATGTAATTAAAATGACATGGAATATCATTAATAGCGAAACAGGAAGGTCGAGCAACCGAAGTAGTGACTACAGCCTTGCTATTGATGACGATATAATTAAATCAGATTCCCAAGTCGCCGCGGCCTTTGAAAAGTTCTTCGCAGAGTTTCCCGCGTCAACTACTAAATCTCTAAGGTCATCACCCACTGCTGCAGAGTCTTTACTTAAAGAAAACGTTCCAGTTTGTGAGTCTGAGTTTAATTTCCAATATGTTACTTGTAGAGACATAATTAAAACCGTTCACACGTTAAATATTAAAAAGACTGCTGATCTGTGGGGTAATTCTGTGGACGTTGCTAAATCAATTATAAACATTGTAGCACCTACTCTAGCTGTTATTTTTAACAACTGTATTGACCGTGGTGAGTTTCCTGATCTTATGAAATATAGTAGAATAATACCGTTATTTAAATCGGGTAGTGCATCTGACCCTACTAATTATAGACCTATTTCAGTGCTACCTACCTTTAGTAAAATTTTTGAAAGGGTTATTTTAGATCAACTGCAAAGATTTTTTAATAAACATAAATTATTACATAACAAACAGTTTGGTTTTACAAGGGGTCGTTCGACCACTGATGCCGGTGTTGAACTTTTAGGCCATGTTTATAATGCATGGGAGGATAAATGCGATGTTTTGGGCATCTTTTGTGATTTGTCCAAGGCATTCGACTGCGTTCTTCATGAAACATTAATCAGGAAACTGCATCACTACGGAATCCGGAACGCCTCTCTGGATCTCCTCACTTCTTACTTAAGTGATAGGATTCAAAGAGTTGATGTTAACGGGAAAAGATCACCCGGATCCATAGTAACAATGGGTGTCCCCAGGGCTCTATTCTGGGCCCGTTTTTGTTTCTTATTTATATTAATGACTTGCCTTACCTCATAAAGGATAATCTTGATATAGTGTTGTTTGCAGATGACACTTCACTTTTATTTAAACTCAAACGTCAGCAGCTGGTTACTGACAATATAAATAGCGCCCTCGCAAAAGTAGCTAACTGGTTTAATGTTAATAACCTACTTCTTAACGAGAAAAAAACTAAGTGTATTAAGTTTACTATACCTCATGTTAGACAAGTAAAAACTAGTGTTCTCATAAAGGGCGAAGAGTTGATTCCTGAAGATACCACAGTGTTCTTGGGCATAACTTTGGATGCCAAACTTCAATGGGGCCCCCATATAGATAAATTGTCGAAAAAGCTTAGCGCTGCAGCATACGCCGTTAGGAAAATTCGTGATTTAACTTGTTTAGAGACAGCCCGTTTAGTTTACTTTAGTTATTTTCATAGTGTGATGTCGTACGGTATTCTGTTGTGGGGAAATGCCGCCGATATTCAGACAATTTTTGTTTTACAAAAAAGGGCTATTCGTTCAATTTACAAATTAAGTCCCAGACACTCCCTCAGAGATAAATTTAAAGAAATTAATATAATGACTGTGCCTTCTCAGTATATCTATGAAAATCTTTTGTATGCTCATAAAAATATCAATTTGTTTAAAAAATTCAGTGACGTCCATAACGTAAATTCTAGAAACAAACACAAATTTGTTGTCCCTACAACCAGGCTTAAAAAAAATAAGTGGTTCGTTTAGATGCCAATGTATACGTATTTATAATAAACTACCTAGCCACATTCAAGAACTAAGCCTTAATAAATTCAAAAATAGTATAAAGCGGAAACTTTGTCAGAAAGCCTTTTATACTGTCAAAGACTATATTGAGGACAAAAAGGCTTGGGATTGAGCTGCTCCAATAAATTTGCACAATTAATGTTGATTTAAATACCTTTTTACATACTCTATGTACAATTAAATGAATATTTACTTTGTAAATCATATTTATACAATTTTGTATTATTGTGAATGTGAAGACTACGTGGATCATTGTTTTTTATTTATTGAATCCTTTTCTCAGTTTTAGTCATAGTCTGACAGTTTGAGTAATTTTCGCGGCCTACCCAAATGTCTTGTCTTTGGACTTGACAGGTCCACTCAATCTGTGTGGTTCTTTCCTCAAAAGACCATTTCAGACAACAATCTACATGGTCTTCACATAATCTTGTTAGTTATGTCTGGACGTTAAAAGAGACTGTGACCTCTGAGTTTGTTTCGGCGTTTCTTCTCAGAGTAGTCAGATAGGAAACGTCGATCTCATCTAGTTTTAAAAAAATAAATGTTTGACGTGTAAAAGTGTTTGTAAAAACCTACTTACAGAAATAAATCATTTATCATTTATTTAACATTGTTCTAGAACTAAGTACGAATACGAGTTTACTACGCATGGCAGATGTACAAAAATTCCGAGAAGGGAATTATGCGTCAGCCTGTCTGAAAAGCGGAGCCAATATTTCATTAAATTTGTAATCAAGGTTGTATTAGGTATGATTATATAAATTATTAGTACTTCAAAGTACTGTAGGTGACGTATAAGTTACCAAATACGTCACTGGCAGCCATCATGACCCCTCAATGCACCCTAACATCCTCTATATAATTAGCCAAAGATGCTTTCCGAAGCATTCACTGTGATCTTGGATCTGAATGAACATGTCAATAGTAATTACCTCACCCCTGAGAAATCTGACGTGGTGTTCAGTCTCTTGTTAGGATTGATATCTATACGATGAGTATAGCTATATATTTCAAAAATTACGTGAGAAGTATCAATAGATTAAATTAATAAGGTGAGTTGGATGGAATAATTAAAATCATTCTCGATTGTCATTCACCTGTCAAATAGATATCAAGCATTCTACCCAGTGAGACACTATTTTAAACGCTTTTAAATTAAAACTTGAATAAAAGACTATTAGGATCTAAGCTATGACAAAACGAATATAGAATTGCTCTCAATAAATCTCAATTCGCACCCAATGTGCGTCTAACTCATCTATCACTCCATAAATAGAGTATAAAAATAAGAAATGGCCACATTATTTGTTCGATGGGGTGAATAAATAATACGTTCTCTGTCACGAAAACAAAAGAGACTCGTTCATCAGCTGGGGAGTGACAAATCTATAGTCTAAATAAATATTATTTTCCGTAGTACTAAAAAAATGCTTGATGAATGTCGGAATCTGGGTGTTTATTAAGAAACTCTTAACCCATTAACTTCAGTATTTTATATTAGATTTAAATTTTAAATCGTTAGAAAGGCTAAATAATTAAATAGATATACGTCAAGAGTTATTACACAGACGGGCAATATTGAAATTTTATTTAGTTAGAGGCAGTTGAATCCAGAAACTCCGGATTAAAAGTATTGAAAGTACACACTTTGAAAGTATTAATTTACATTTTACATTATTTAACTAGAGATCACAATCAAATTTTGTTAAATATTTGTAAATAAAATCTGTGCGGTGTTCATATTTTCTGTAATTTTTCATTGATCTGTCCATTTCGCATCTTGAGGTAAAATGGAGGAAAGTCGAGGGTGGCGAGACGGCTAATTCGATATTATTGTGGGCAAAATGTCGGAAGAGATTTTCTTTGAACAGAAAAACCATTTGCAATTTATTCAGCCCAGCTGCTTTTTTATCTCGCTCAATATTTATGATAAGCGTAATATCGTTTTTCTGGTATTTTGCGGTTATACTCACATTTCCTATGTAAATCGATTAGTTATTGGAATGTCGGTTTAGCTACGTATAAAGTTTGTTTCAAAATAATTCATCACTTATGTATTATAAATAACGCGCCTGATTATTAAATTTCAGCAAATTAAATCTGTACTTTTTTTTCAGTAAGCAGTTTTAACTTAGTAATTTTCTTGTATACATGAAACATTTATATATGCATTATGCATTCAAGTATTTCATGAAGATGCACAAAGAGTCCACACCACACACTCATGAAAATGAAGGCACAAGAGAAAAAAATACATAAATTCCCATTTGAGTAAAGGATCGGCGAGTATGTCTTTGTCATTACTGAAGGCCACCTAGTGTATATCTAGTACTTTATTACATATATTAAAAAAATATTTTTGAGAAAACCAAACATTATTATAATGCTATATATAATATGGCTTCGAAAACAAAAAGGGAAGAAAAAATAAGGAGGAAATAAAAAAGTGAATCCTTATTTAAATATCGTTTAATTTGTGTTTTGTAAACACTTTACAAAGCCACTTGCTCAGTCACCTGAGGGCAGGTTAGATTGAAATTTTCATTTTCTTAAGGCGACCGCACCCCTATCTCCCCTCGGCATAGATTTGCATGCACAATTTATGTCTACCTCTGGTTACCCGACTACTGTGCGATATCATCAATAAGGCTTTAATTCTAAGAGAAAAGTTATTATATTCCTGATATCGACGCAGTTTTACTTTAATAAATGTGGCATGCCTCATGTTGTGACGCAAGGGAGTTATTATGAATTTGATAATTTTATTATATATACAAATAAAAAATCCGCATATTTTCGCATATCATATTTGTAATAGAAATAAAATATACATTTCGAACTGAATAGGACTATCTATCTACATATATGCTGATGAACTGAACCTGTACGAACTCTGAACGATATAATTTGGGTCATTGCGATGATAATTTAAAGTATATTTCTACGAAGGAAATTGTATGCTGTTATAACCCCACAAAGCAAGTGAATTATTTTTTTAAAATAAAAACAAATCGATTTACCTCTATGGTTGTTTTTCCAGATTCCTGCCATTTCATAAGATGTTCACCCTTCAAGGACCATCCCGGGGCATAGCTGATAAGTCCCCCCGCCGCCCCACGGTTACTAGCTACATCGCCCGGCTCAGCCTTCTTCTTAGGACTCGGAAGGCGGAAAAAGCGGCCATGAATCTTGCAACTTTTCGAGGGAGAGAAGAAAAACGAGTTTTTCTTAGGTGATTTTTCTTGTTCCGATTTAGACGTGCCAGGCGTTTCATCTGTGGATTCTTGCGATTCGCACTTTCGTTCTTCATTTTGCTTTGGCCCTGAATTTTCGTCAGCAACAAATAGAAGTGTCCGTTGAACAAAAGGAGTTGCTTTGTTGTAGAATTCAAAGGGCTCCTGCACTTTGAAACTCGTGGGTATAGTGGTGCGATGTGGTTTAGATAGTCGTCGCTCCATGTATTTTCTTGCCATGCCATTTATTTAATCTTGAAATAGCATTTTTGCTATGGTACAACGACATTCACTGACACAGGACGTGGTTTTATTGGCAATTAAAGCAGCTTATTATTAATTATGATAATATGATTATAAAGCTAAACAATTTTAAATTTAAAACTAAAAATAATCTAGAATTTCCGATATTGATATTTGACTGATTGCAACTAATATAATTGTATATTCAGACTACCAATGGTATTCGAATTTATTATTATAATTGTAGTGTAATAAAAAGTTAAACTAAGCCAAATTTAATTCAATTAAACGCTGGAACCAAAATGTTTCTAGAATTGGTACTTTTTATCATCTACTTCAAAGATGGTTGTTAATATCAATTCCAGTAATTCTATTAGGTTAGTGAAAAGCCTTTAGCGACGGGTTGCAATTTTCACGCGGAGGCTCCACGGATCGATCGTTGTGCGTGAATAAACATTGCCACCCTCTTAACGACAAATATTATTTCTTATTGTATTGCAATAAAGTTCATTTTCCTCGTGAAAATTTCATAAAGCGCGAACAAACTGATAGCGAACTGAAACTGAAATATGATCTAAATTTCGTTGTTGTGTTTGTTTATGAATTTTGTTTTACACGAGTTCATTGTAGAAAATATATAGTGACTTTGTAACTCTCTATGTTAAAATCAAACGAATAAAGAATTGAGTCAGAAACACTAGTCTCGATAGCAAAGACTTAAATTATATCATAAAGGATTACAATATCTATCGTTGTAAGGTTTTGGAAAATTGAATCATTTGGGAACAGCGTTCCTTGTCATAAAGGCCGACAGTCAAATCGGCTTTCGACCCTTTAGCATCATACCTATGCTATCAATGCCATTAATACCTATATACATTTTATCAGCAAATTATAATGAAAATGGCGTAAGCCTATTTAATATAATCGACGTAATTGTGTCAATTAGGATGTCAGTAAAACGTACAGTAACAACAGTAAGTATTAGTATTTTTTTTGTTTTAAGTATTTTTACATTTATAGGCAGTTTGATACAACTTCACTGTATACTATGTTTACTATTATAAATCAATGATTAATATATCTGTCATATAATTTCGAAAACAAAACATTGCATCACGTGTTCGTAGTATTTAAATTTATAAATAAGTCTACTGATTATACGGTTGAGATAAAAAAAACTGTAAAAATATGGTATAAGACAATTTACTTTATAATAAAAAACCAAAGGGAACCGAATATTATTATCAGGTGCTTCATAACACAGAAAAGACTGAAATCACTGAAATATTATCTGTAACGAAAATAGCGTTCAAGTTGTAATATTGTCTCTCCGTTATTCCCAGTTGATTTCCCCTGTCTTTCTTTCGTAAATAGCTTTCCAATCCAAAGGGGGACTTATTACATTTCGATGACATGACGAATTGGAGATGACAAGAAGGGCATGTATACAATTGACCGCAAGTAATAAAAATAATTAAGAAACTTCTCTAATAAAGAGTTATCTGATAAACAGATAGAAGTTTAATTGTTTCAAATAACTATTACGTTAGCCTTGATCGAACACAAACTTGCAATTATTATAAAATTACCTATATATATATATAAATATATATTATTATATATTAATACCTTTTTTATTTAAGAAATATTAATGCCAGTTACATGTCTAAAAAGCTTGGATATTTGAAAACAAATGTATTTCATGAAGTATGGACAATTCCCTACGTTGAAATATCAACACGTGCATACAGTTGCGTTAATAACCTCTTTTTTGGAAGTCATAAAAATAGACGCAGTAATGTACCTATTGAATGTTCTTCTTCGCACAATACAGAGAGACATGAAAGGAGATAATGGAATAAACGAATTGCATGATCCCTATTCCGGTAACAAAACGAAAATAAACATGCGGGTAAATTGTCAAGTTCGCGTTCAAATGGGGTGTTTGTCTATTTCTGAACTGCGGTTATTCTTTTTCACGTCTAACAAACAGGTTTGTTGAACTCTCGATTGTAACTCCTAGAGTACGCTTGATTGATTATAAATTAGGATTTATTAGGGGCAAGGCGGTAGTGTGGGTCTAGTGAATATGAAGTTATCAACGCTGAGTGTATTCGAATCTAAATTGTGAAGAAAAAATTAAAAAAAAAACAGTTATAGGTATGGCTACTGAACACGCAGAGTTAGCCACTGACACTTAACATATAGTTACATATTACAAACACTCATTAACTCACGCGTGATATGCATCGCATTGACTGTTTGTCAAAAAACATAAAGATAAGAAATTCTTGAAAACAATTTAAAAAATGTCAATTTGTAATTAAAACAAAATTATTAAATTTGTTATGGAATTAAGGATTAAGTTTGTTAACGGAAGAGCTGGGCACCCTGACACAGGAATTTTTTACTTAAAAGGATTCCAAATCTTTAAACATGCATTTAACTCAACCTCAAAATAACTTTATTCATATAGGTTAAACCAAGTACACTTATGAATGTCAATAGAAAAGATGTTAAATTGATTCAACATTTACTACCAGTTCGCAAGTTAAGGGCGTATAATTAATAAACATATTTTTATATTTATTTAAATTATCACTAAGCCGGCACGTCCGAAGTCGAAGAAGGCCTTTTAACTTATACCTAAGGAGACAGGACGGCAGATAGACTCAAGAATAGTTACATGACCCATTTTTTAATATCAGTATTTTGATGTAAATAACCAATAATAAATAGTATGAAACTTAATTAAGATGGCACATCAAGTTAAACCAGATATTGTAAGAACCCGGGGGAGCCTTATGAGTAAGCTGTCATATTCTGCGGTAGGTAGGTATGAGTTATTGTCTGTGGTAAGTAGGATAAACATAATTTATATCGGGTTTAGAACGTCCTGTTGAAAATAGAATAAGTTATATTTAGAATAAAAATCATCGTCATTTTAGTTTGTAAAAAAGAATTTCGTGTTATCATCAATGTTATAATTAAGTTTTACTTTTTGTTGTAATATTATTTAATTAAGAACAATAATTAATTACTGTTCTAACAGATTTAACTAAACCATACCGAATATCAGACAAGAATAAAATAAATAAGAACTGACGGACTGTTACTTTAGTTTAGAATTATGTTGTTAAACAAAACACTTATATGTAGCTTAGTGGTACGCACATAGCTTATAACCGGCAGGCGCTGGATTGAATACCTGTCAAAGCAACATTTTTTCATGTGAAGTCAGATATGTCATATCCAATAAAAGAGTCTCGTCTTCAAAAGTAAATTAGGGACTACTTTTAAGCATCTAATAAAAACCTAACCTAACCTAAACTCTATATACATTAAGAAGCTAGTTTGCAATTGCTAAAGAACACATTTAATCTCTAAGGACGCATTTAGGCGTCAGTACTGTTCATGTCATCATTTTCAAATTAACAGATAACGAGTATTCGTGTTTCCGAAATTTGCAGCACGAATACCCCTGTGATGCATTAATAATGTTATCTAAGGTAATTTATTCGTACATTACGAATCAATGCGTAATTAAAATGCAAATTGTCCCTTCCCTGGACAAGTGCGTTAACACTTTCGCAAATAGCAAGTGCTACGGTATAAAGAGAATAACGGAATAGAGAAAGGTTATTTGATTTTATATTCGCCATTTTGACTCGCCACCTTTTAAAAAACATTTTTTAATTACCCTCCTTTGCATTTTTAGCCAACTATTCCGCGTAGAGAACAAATTAATATATACTATTAAGAATTAATATGGAAAAAATACTATGTATATGTCTTTAAATAATGTGATTCAATTGAATTTAGATATATTGCATTACTCTGCGGCTTCTTTCACTGGTTATGTTTATAAACAGAAAGCTAAAGTTCTAGCTCAGTTTGATTAGATGGTTTTTTTTAAATCTGAATCCAGAACCTTAATGTCAAATAAAAAAAAAATAGTTGACATTTTTACACCTCTATTTAAATACAATTGATAAAATTAATAAACATGTTGTAACGACACGCGCACAAAACTACATTAGTATGCGTAAAGTGTTGTGCTTAACACTTTGGTTTGATGTCGAATATGTTACGTTTTGTACTAGTTTTTTACGAAAGGGAACAATTCCAAGATGTCAGTGACTACGCGTCTACTTGATTGGTATTTCCACGCAATACACTAATAAGTTAAATTTATGTGCACGGAGCCGATGATTGTATATGAAGCAAATCAAATCAAAATTAACTATGTACGCTTATGAACGTCAAATATAAAGCAAAGTTCCCGTTCCAATCCCCAAATCAAGAACGTAGAGCGGGCTCGAAGAACTGGCAAGTTACTCTTGGCCACTCTTTTTAATAACTAACTTTAATGTTTGCAATATCTTAAATTTTAAACTAATTTTATTATCTTTTGATAGAACTATTGGTATTCCATTCAAGATTCCGACCTCCCAAGTAGTATACGGTATTTAATATTCAATCTTGAACAAGTTTAGCATCGCTTTATATTAAGAATTCAGTTTTAGTGAAGTATGCTTCACAATATTAATAATTATTAATTTTTAGAGTTCCTTATGAACACTTAAAAGCCTGAAAATTTAGACATTAAGGAAACTTTGAAATGTTTTTGTATTACGTACGTTTCTTGGACTAGATCCAGGAAATACTTGAAAAGGAATGCAGTTTAATACAATGTACGTCCTTTGGAAAGCACAGGATTTTCATGAAATTTCTAATAGTACTAGTTAATGTTCTTAAGATTATTCAAATAGTTTATTTTATTATTGATTCGCTAATTGTCTCTACTATACTCGAACGTAGTAACGCTGGATTGGCCGTTGTCTATGACCCAAAGTTTATATTAGATCACTATCATCTTTGTAATAAAAAAACTAAAGCTCTTTGTAATATACCGACACTTATAAAATTGCCCTAAATTTAGTGAATTAAAACAATTTAGAGAACGATACGGTTATTGTAGCGTATTAAGGCTA